AAAAAAAAAAAAAAAAAAAAAGTCTTAGACTCACACAAAAAGTCCCTTTCCCTTGCAATTTCTGGACATTGATTAACACAATGACATGCCAAACTCTCTTGCCGTTATCAATTCTTACGAAAAAAATGTTTCTATGTATCTAAACACAGCATCGCTTGCCAAATAACCAATGGATTTGATGGTGTCAAGTGGGACCCCTAACTTGGCAAGCCAAGTGGCCCCTCCTCTACGAAAAGAGTGGCCTCGAATATTCGAGCCTTCCTCCCCTATTTGACATAGGCAGTTGCGCAATTTATCACAAAAACACTTGTAGCTGAGAGCTAAACCACCGTTAACTAGGAGGAGAGGTCCCAGAGGATTTGCTGCCTCTGTAATAAGCAACAGACATTTGAGCGCTGTAGCAGGACATAGAGCATTCCCCGTTCTGGGCAGTAGGATTTCAACACGTTTTCCCCTGAACTGTATAGTCTTGGTTCGGCGTAAACACAACAAATATCCCCAGGGATAAGGGAGAAGATCTATGCGACGAACATATCGGTCTCCATCAAATGCGCCAGTGGTCGTAATGTTCCCAGGGCGCAGGAGCCCATAAAACGCAATAAAGCATGCACACCAAAACGTAATGTCCGACAAATTGGCAAAGTTCAAGGGCGACTTGATTTTATGAAGCTGCTGAGGTGTGATTGCCCCCACTGGTGACTGGGCTGTATCCAGCTCGCGCTTAATACCTTGGAGTAGGTGTTTGAGTTGAAAGTCCTTGTTCACAGGGTCCCCAAAACCCGACAGTCTATGCATGTGAACCACAATATTGAGATATTGTTGGATAGTGTTGAACCGAAATCCTCGAACCTTAGCCAGGTAAGTGACGTATAGTTGAAGGACTTTCGATGCTGCTGGGACAGATGCACAGTTAATACTTCCGCAAAAAAGTTAAGTAGCACTGCATATGTGTACGGTTAGTGGATGCTGTAGTACTAGTCCATGCCTTGTCTTTGTATTTCATTGCAGCTCTCTCCAGTTCCTCCACCATTGAACCACCGTTTGCTATTTCACCTTGTATCTGATCTTGGACCAGACCAGAAAACTGTTTACAAGAGGCATAGTTTTCTTCCTCCACGGGCACGATGTGTTTCTCTAGACCTTCATCGATAATGCGAAAACCGGTAGCCACGCCCTCTAAAATAAACTCCCTATCAAAGTCATCCGCAGGTAAGAGGGACTGCCAGGCTTCCAATTTCAACTTGTTGCTAGTATGTACATTATTTACAGTGGCCTCATGCTTGGGCTGATCATGATCTATCCCTTTTTTGTATGATGAATCGCACTGTGCTCCGCATAACACACCGAACAGACATGCGCAAGTTTACACGATTTATAATCACAAACGTCATTGTTAAATTTCCTGCATATTTCTCGGTTGTCCGGAGTAAACGGGCCACGTTTTCTTGGGGTCGACCGTTCTCGACCTTGTCCCTCTCGTTTTGAATTTACCGTCGTACCCTGAAGTACCTGAGCAGTCAGGTTGTTTGGCTTAGGTACAAGTTGAAAGTTCTGTATCGCGGTTTGTGGCGTTCCCCATCGAAAACCTTCACTATGTTAAGTTGGGCCTCCCGATATTCCCGGTCATACAGCATAACACTGCCGCACACATACTTGCTGAAGAGTCGACTTATCGTTTTTGTATAATCAAGGTAGTCAAGGATACCACGAACATCCACCTCGTTTGCCTCGATCATTTCTTCTAAAATTCTGCTATTACCATAGTCCCATTGTTCAACGCTGATTTTGTAGTAATCTTTGTCCATTTTACGATTTACTTTGACCCCTGTGGTGGTGAACGTGACGATTTCGTCCCCGTCTATCAATGTGGGATCGCGCCAAAGATAATTGTGTACAAGGCGGGGTTTAGACTTTTTTGTATTGTTCACATTCTGCAGCAGTGTCTGGAAATTTAAGTCAAGTAAATTGTTCATACCTGAAGTGCTGGGTCGTTCTCTCTCTGTTGATGACCCACCCTCCTGGCGATCACGTTGAGGGGCGGAGACGAAGGGGCGATTTTGTTCATAAATTTTCCGCCGACAATCTTCGATCTCCTTGCAGAGAGCCCCTTTTCTTAACTCCGCTTTTAAACTATCGAGTTCCTTTTCGAGCTCGGCTTCTGGTTTGTCACTCATCGCTGATGGTGGTGGGCCTCCACAGGCACCATGCCGGCCATCATCACCCTGATGTTCGTCACTAGATTGAGAAGCATTTTCTTTCCGTTGTATACATTATCATCGGTCTCCTCGAGCTCGCTGTCACAATTATGGAGGAATGTCATTAGTGAGCTTGATCGCTCTCTCAGATTGTAAGCGTTCATCGCGATGTCGCTGGAGTTTATATTTATATAAAGCACTGTGAGGCTGCTGCCATCTTCCTCTGCTAATGCTGTTAAAAGACCGGAACTAGCATGGGGTGCTAAGGGAGCTAACTCTAACTACCTTGGCAAAGGCTAAAGTTGCTACACCAAAATACAATTTACTAATAAATTTACACAGAAATATGACGTCTGTCGGAATTCCCGTTTTTCTCCCTTTTCATTAGCTAGAAGTTAAGGACCCAAATCCCAGCCGGCGGCTCATATGTACTACACTTGAACAGTGACAGGGGAATGTATACATATGGGGTGGGACCCGGGCCATGCGGCAGCGTCAGGACATGATTCGGGAGGGGTGGATATAAAGGCGGACTTGTAAAGCAAGACTATCGATATTAAACATGTGCTTACCAGATCAAGACAGCAGTTTCACTGTAAGGCAGCATGCACGGGTGACCTACAAAACAACGTGACCTACTTATATACGCGGAGTTATCTTTATGTAAACACGAGCAGTCGTTGGGGTTAGCATACCCTGATTGTACACGTGTGTACATATATAAGAAGATGAGGGAAGTTATCGAATGCCTTTAAAATTTCACGTTTGATTGACATATTGTTGGCCGTTTTATGAGGGATATTTTTGTTAATGGCTGAACTCATGGTCCTGTGAATTGGCAAGGGTTGTGTGTTCGGTGTGGCTCCCTCGTTAGGTAATGGAGAGGTGGTTAGACGTGTTTGCATGAAGTGTTCAGTAATGTGTAATAATAATTCATTAATTGCCTTTAACAAATTCCCTACCAGGAATATGACTGGAGGAATACCTTTTAAAATCTACTTACAATGCTGAACGTTGATATGCTACAGTGATAAAGGGTACTGTATGGTATATGTACCACGTGTCGATACCAGGCGTAAGGACACATGTATACACCTTCACACATGTGTTGACATTAACGAAGTCGGGTACAAACAAGCTACCTATCAACCTGTTGTCCACAGTTAGCTGGTGATCTCTAGTGTCGTACTGTTCAGGTCTTAAACTACATAAGTACGATGGCCGATAGCAGCCGACACAAACAACTACAATATAAGACATTTGTGTACATGTACACTTTTTAAAAACTGTACATGTACACAATACAACTACAAGTGCTATTAACATTCCTTAACGGTTCGGGTCAACTTGATATTTCACACGTGCCTGATGCGGCGGTGAATTTAAAGACCAAACGACAAAGAAAGGGAATATGTTCATAAATCAGCGAAGAGGCGATAGAGGTCACCACACAGTGTTACTACGTAGACTGTACACAATATTTCACCAGTTGATGCTTGAAGGCGACTTAATCTCATCACCTGAAAATGGATATACTAGAAAAGTTTGACATTAGTTATTATCAACTGTTTAATTTTCTTAATCTTTTCTTTGTATGGTGATAGGTCTTATGTCCTATTTTTAATTTGAAAGAAATGTAACAGACATAAGCCATCGTTCTACGCATATCTATGTGGGCTTTACCTAATGTATGGATTGGAGGCATAAAGTAGAACGTTGCCTTGTTCAGTGTGAATAGTTGAGTGCTAAAGTCAAATATAATATAATACTTACTGTAACAAAAGTTGTATGTATATTGTTCTGAGAGAAATAACTAGTGTTTTATACCAAAGGCAATAGCCTTCAAACTTGTGAATATGTCACATGGAACACTTTAAATTACGTATTTGGGGTTATTGGGTTAACATTATAATTCTATATACAAATTAAGTAACTACATGTTTTTGTTTTGGTATACCTCTGATTTGTGACCGTCTAGTACTGTTTGACTTCTGGGGAATCTAGTAATTTCCTTGTCGTTTATAAGCCGCCGTATCATACACGTGTGAAATATCAAGCTGATCCGAACCGTTAAGGAATGTTAATAGCACTTGTAGTTGTATTGTGTACATGTACAGTTTTTAAAAAGTGTACATGTACACAAATGTCTTATATTGTAGTTGTTTTGTGTACATGTACAGTTTTTAAAAAGTGTACATGTACATAAATGTCTTATATTGTAGTTGTTTTGTGTCGGCTGCTATCGGCCATCGTACATAAGCGACACGCACAACAACACAAACGAGAATGTATGCTACTCAAATGACCTTAACCTTATAAAGAATATATTGTGACAACTAAATTAAGCTGACTATGTTTTGTACTATATTCAAAACATTAGGGTAAACTGACAATGCTTATACATGTGCTATCACACCCATCACGCTAGCGTCAAACTCTCATGTCGTTTACTATATAAATAGGTCTGACCCCAGCTGCAGCGATATGTTACCTGTATGAAATGACCCCAATCTCTCGTTTTGATATAGTGTAACAGGTTTATATTTAACAAATTATGATCAATTAGAAAACAAACATGCACCTGAAAATGTGCCAAAAACTAGAGCTATGACTGTTGTTTGATGAATGTTTGTTAAAGTTTAATTTAGCTGCCATTTGAATATCTCAATATTTTGCATCTATGCAATGGTAAAAGTTCAACTTTTGTTTGCATGAATCTTATCACTTAGTGCCATTGTATCGCCATTTTTACTTTGTAGCAAGTTGATTTTTACTTCGCAAGTTTTAAATGTTCAGTATTATGAAAAATATAATGCAACAACGTGGATAATTATAAAATATTGGTAGTTTATTACCGATTCATATTAACTGAAGTTCTTTTGATTTTTGATCACAAAACATAATACGGCAAAAACAGACCATACTGACCCCTATTTTTTGGCTGTTTATTAAAAACGTTTAGTTGCAGAACTATTATATAAATTATTAAATCTGCAAAACGTGAAAAAATAGCGTATTTTCAGTTAAAAATAAGGGGTAGGTGTAAACTAAATTGCTTTTCTGAGATAACAGAATATGTTAAAGAAATATATTTCACTTCCATAATTTAAAAGGAAATATTATTTTATCAGTTCATTTATAAATTTCTGCTAACACTCTTGGAAGATATTGTATGCTATTTGTTCTGCATATGGTGAAAAACACCTAGTATATGTTGCATTGTAATCTATGACCGATCATAGCACAACAAACGAACACTCTGTCATGACAGTTTTGCATTTTATTTCATATCATTCACTCTTCAAAAAATAAATAGAGGGAAAAAAAGTTTAATACAGATTTTTTTTTTAACTTCTCAGAGGAGTACATTCTTCATTCGGAGCTATCCTACTTATCCGTTAATTGTATCGTAAAAGTCTGGAAGGTAATTATGCAAGAGCACCAACATTGCTATGCGCATTTCTGTGCATTTTTCTCACTCTTGTTAAACCGTCTCTGATCGGCATTTTTGTTAGTATTACCACTGTATCTCTTTCATAAGACAATGTGGTAGACTATGCTGGTGACTTTCTGATTCCAGAGTCTCCGAGGTTTGCCGTGACCTTGATAGCCACAGTAATCTCTTTTGAGTAGTATTTATTTATTTATTTATTTTGAAGGTTTTTACGTCTGCTATTACGACCTTTCGGCCTTTCAGTAGACGAGAACAGATAGGAAATGGAAATAGAAGGGACAAAGTATGGAGAGAGAAAAGGAGAGAGTAGGAGAGGGTAGAGGTGGAGGAGATAGAAGTCGTCAGTCCTATTGACCTACTATTATTACACTGTTGGCTAGTATAATTTTGTGTGACGACTTCTGAGCCAAAAAAGCCCCCAAAAAACGTTTATAGTGCATCAGGATGTTGGACGCGGTTAGAGAGGAGCGGAGGGATGGCACCCCAAGGAAGACCCTGAAACAAGCCAAGTCGGTTAAGGCCTAGCTGAGATGAATTTACATAAATCTATTTTTAGAAGTCCGTCTAAAATTCTAATAAATAAACCTAACACTTATTAAAAGTCTAAAATATCCTAACCTCTGAATCGGCGTTATCACGCCTACTCTTCTTCGAAAATACCCAGAAGGATCTTTTCCGTGCGATGTGGACAGTCTCACACGGGGCACCATTTTAAGTCCCATCCGACGGACTGTGCATTAGTGCTTAGTGGTTAGTAATGTGCGGTGCTTGGTCATTTATTTTTGTCGTCCTTCCACGTGAGTTCATTCTTTAAGCTCCTTTACACTGGCGTTGTTTCACAACACAAATGTCATCTTTCATATCAAACCACACTGTTGCATTCTCCTTATATCTATCTGCTTTGCGACGTATTTTAATTCTTTTAAGAGTAATGTGATATTAATTGATATGAGTATAGTGAGTAGGGAGGGGAGGGGATACTTAATGGATACAGGTGGGGAAATATACTATTGTTATATATATGAAAATATCTACTCTGATATGGGCGTTTTAGTTAAGGGATAAAGGTGTGACTGGAATGGCGGATTGTGAAAGGGATTGACTTTGGGTCGAGATAAATGCGGTTGGGGTGGGGCACAAAGGAGGAGACCCCAGACCTCCTGGGATCTCAGTATATACCAATTAATGAGCGGATCAGTAGTAATCCATCCTGGAACAGCCTCCCTGGGTATCCTGGGACCATAATTTAAAGTGTGATTTAAATAGTGCTAGAAGAGCTCATCATATTTATACTTACTAATTAAAATTTTAAATATCCAGCTGATGAATACATGACTATGGGGGCTGGGGTTGCTAAGGAAATCCAATATGGCGGCCTTAGCAACCCCATAAACCTACGAGCAACCCCATACCCCCCCCCNATCATGCGTGTTTTGCGTGTGACGTCAACAATTTTCGCGTTAACAACGGAATTATCTCCCCCTGTTTTCAATAGGTGTGTGTACTGCGTGTGACGTCATTTTGACGAAATTAGCTCCCCTTGTTTCTAACTTTTACCTTCTGATTTCAGGTATTCTCTCTTTCGGCGACGCTGTTTCGTTGGTTATTGTTTCTCTTTTCTTTTCTTTTCTCCTCTTTTCCTGGTCTTTTTAATCATATATTTTCATTTTCCTTGATAATCTTATGCATAAAACATATTTACAAACAATGAATAGTTACAACATGCGTACGTTATTTACAATATAAAATTCACGGCATATTAACAATTTTTTACGAGTGTGGTATTAAATTGAGATGACTTTTTTTCGTGAAGGAAGTGAGTGTGTCGGTGCTCTGGAAGGTGTTGTAGCAGGTGGTGTTGCTTCCTTGTTTGAACTAAAAATAATAGTTAACACGTAGACAATTCACAATAATACATTAGCTAACGGTATAATAATAGAGTAAGGTAAGTGATTCTATTTAGACAATATACCTCAAGGTAGTGATACTGGCCGCTTGCACGTCGCTGTCTATATCTTTGGCGATGTTGTTTCCTAATGCGCTCCTTGTTGTTTGATATGTTTTGTCGTTCCTTCCTGTACATGTCTGCTGGCTGTTGTACTAATTGGTGTTGGCGAAAGAAGTTGGATAGACTGTATAAGATTGTCTTGTGATTCGGTGATGAAGAGTGTGTCGTCAATGTCTGAACTTGTCAGAGTCGTGCGGGAAACTTTAGATGACGTCAAGGTCGTCGAACGTGACGTCACTATCATCGATCGATATCGGAGCATCAAAAGCATGGCGCAGAGGTTGGAACCTTAGCGTACCGGTTGTGTACGATGCGAGTCGGCGTCATTTTTTTTTTTTTTTTTTTTTTTTTTTTTTTTTATTTTTTTTTTTTTTTTTAATTTTATTTTGTATAGAATCCTTCATACTATCATCGGAATGTTCGTTTTGTAACGAGGTTTTTGATCGGCTATTTTTATGACAAGTGTTATGATTGGATATTTTTCATAATAAGGCTTATGATTGGTTCATTTTTAGTCACAAAACTTGAAGGAAGCAATAAACTCTAATATGAAATAGGCGCTGCCTACTTCATAAGCGAGCGCACATAGTTCAGTAACGTTTATGATGATAGTGTAGATCTCGGGCGTCTGCA